AAAAAAAAAAAAAAAAAGGAACAGATTTATTCATTATCTGAACCCGAGTGCAAATGGCTAAAATATCCTGTCTCCTGTAACCAAACAGAGAAGTATCCCCCATCAAAGTAAAAAAAAAAAATAATCATCCCTTCTCTATTTTCTCCAATATTAAAAATAAAAAATCGCAAGTCCCATTAAAATGAGTTCTGTCCCTCTATCTACCTGGGGCACAAACTCTGTCCTGCTGCTTTTGGATAAAAATAAAGACTCTTCTCTCATTAATTACTTCCATATTCACGAGACACCTCTGTCAAAACAGTTTATTTATATGTTTCTCCTCCACAGTTTAGCCTTTTCGATCCAGTCCCCAGGAAAACGCCAGAGGAGATTCAACGGGCGATCAGCTCTACCCTCACTTCTCCCTCTTTCCCAGTCCCAGATACACACTATAATGGGATATTCCCCTCCAAACTTGAAAGGAAACTTCTTTCTCTAGTCACATTTGCTCAATGTACCACCATCCCTTTGGCCAACCATCCCCTCTGATGTAAAGTAAAAAAAAAAAAATCAACGTGGAAAGCAGGAAAAAGAATTCCCATGCAATCAGTTTGGCGTTATTCACGACAAGATCCTGATGAATTTTGGCGGGGGGAAGGGGAGGGGAGCGGGGGGGGAAGTGTGGTTTGGAGGCCAGGCGAGGTGATTTTGACCTCTGCTCATGTTCGGAGCTTTACACGCGAAAACCAAACGGGGCGCCTCTGTAGAATCTGTCCAGACTCACCTTTTTTCCCTCCTGCCATTCCCGGTGTCCCGAAAACCTTTGGCGAAGGGGTTGTTGTCAATTTTTAATTGAGTGATCTATGGGATGGAGGAAAAAAAAAATAAAAATAAAAATAACAACAAAAATAGGCAGGAAGTTGGGGCAGAAATAAAGAGAGTTTGTATTTAAAAAAAAAATCAGCAAAAAAACTCTCCCAGCACCAGGAGGACCCCGGCAGGGACAGGAACAGGGGACACACCTCCCTGATTTTGGGGTGAATCTCTGCTTTTTCCTGAGTCGGTTTGGAGGCAGGTCGTAGCCAATCCCCGGGGCTGTGGTGGCAATGAAAGAGCCCCGTGTTGCTGCCACCGCATCGGAATTAATTTAGCCCCGTGCAATGCGATCCATGCGAGTTATGCCTGTGCTTAAAACTCTTTAAATGCCATAATTAAACCGCAAAGGAATCATGCCCACCCCCTTGCTATAATAAAATACTTTATATAATCGCGTTCCGCTCCGTGTTTTGGGGCGCCAGTAGACAGTCGATTATTTTTTTTGGGGGGGTGGGGGTGTTGTAAGTTTTTTGGGGAGGTTTTCTCGGGATTCAGGTTATGGCGGGGAATGGTTGTTTCTTCCCGCTTTTGGAGGGATGGGGGAAATCGCGGAGAAGCTTCCCCGTGTCTGTGCGTACCATGCGCGGAGGCGGATTCAAAGCCCGGCCGGGGGGGTCCCCTCGCTTGAAGGGGGATGCGGGCGGAGGGGACGGGGATGCCGCTTCCCCCGCACCTCCCCTGGAACCGCCGCAACCCTCCAAAATTAAGAGGAGAGCAGGACCCCGAAGTGCGGGGCAGGACCGGCTCCCGAGTTACCCCCCCCTCCCCCGCCTCCTCCCGCCTCCTCCGCGGGATCAGGAAAGACCAAGAAACCCCACTGTTAAAAATAATAAAAAAAACCACCCCAAAACCAGCAGGACTTTTTAATCCAGGTGATCCCGGGCCGGTGCCTTCTGACCCGCCGGGCAAAGCAGGTCCCGCAGCGCCCGGAGCCCAGGGCTCCCCGCCGCTCCCGCACGCCGCTTTCCAGCCGATTTCATGGCAATCAGACAAATATGCTCATTTTCTGTCCTTCAACCAAGCCGGCCCCAGCTGATAGACCGGCCCGAACAGCCCCTGCTGATAAGTCCCAAAGCAAAGTCTACTCTCTCTCTCTCTCTCTCCACGCGGTTTCTTCCCGTTTCCTTGCAAGCGCCCGGCCGCGGAAAAAAAGAGGAAAATAGCCCGAGCCCCGAGGGAGAAGTGGCTTTTTTTGGAAACCGAAGGCAGAAAGGTGCAGAGACCACCCCTCTCCACCCCTTAATTTTAACTTTCGAAGGATGCGAGGGGACAGAGAGGGACACGGGGAAGCTGCAGGGAGCGGGCACCGCACACCCAGCCCCTCTAAGTTATAATTTATAGACAGAAAAAAAATCAAAGCCCCCTCTCTGGCTCCTTCGCTTCCTTCCACTTGACTTAATTATCGTAAATTCACCCTTTGCCACTCTCCCAAATATACCACCTTCGTCGCAAGCGACAATAAACCAGCAGAAAATGGAAAGGCAGCGTCCGCAGCGCTGCAAAACTTTCTCACCCTGGCTCTTTTCAGACCTTCCAGCTAAATTCGAGTGAGATACCCCTCTCTGATCAGAGCATATTTCTGCACCACAAAAAATAATAAAACACTGCAGGATGCAAAAAGAAAAAAAAAATCATAATATAATAATAATAGGAACCAGACGTGCGCTCCGGCCTTATTGCCAATTGCTGTTAAAGGAGCTAAAACAGCACAAAGGCCAGGAAGAATTACAAAATCTCCAGCCCCGCTGCTGCTCTCCCCCCTCTGTCTTTCGACACACGGAGCCGATTTTTTTCTGATTTGTTTTGTTTCTGATGCGCCTTAGATTAAATCCACACTGAGCGCAGCGATCCCCACCCCGTCCTACCCCCTTCCCCCGAAAAAAACCAACCTTAAACACCCCCCCCCACACGGCCCTCCCTTTTAATTGCCTTCCCCGAGGTCGGTATTAGGAGCGTGCCCGACCCCCTCCTTCCCGAAGTTGGATCAAGGAGGTTTTTGGGGGAGAAAGACGAGGGGGAAAGAGAGAGAGAGAGAGAGAGAGAGAGAGGAGCGGGATGGGCTTCGTGAGTTTTTAAGGGAACAATGCAGAGTAAAAGCTCTCTTAAAAGCCAAAACACGTAAAACAAATCCTTTCTTAATCTCCTTACCTTATCATTCTGGTATGCGGTCACTGCGATGAATTCAGTCTCCGGGAAAACGTAGGTCCTGAACGTGCTGTAGGGAAGCTTCAGGATATCGTTGGCTCGGACGATGTGGAACCGGGGCTGG